ACTCCAGTCTGGGTGACAGAGTGAGAGTCCAACTCAAAAAAAAAAAAAAAAAGAAATAAGAACTGGGTTGAGCACTTACAAACAACTTGAGGAACTTCAAGATGCGCTTGTGGGTGAGGATGTACAAGGTGTTGCCTGATTCTGGGTCAATTACTGGCAGCCTGTGAATCTTGTTTCGAATTAATGAAGAGACAGCATCAAACAAGCTGTGGGAGACAATGACAAGGGCTGGGGCTGAGGGTGGTTAAATAGCTCCATACAGTGTACATATAAATGTACATACAGGTACATACAGTGTACATACAGGAAAGAGGGGCAGTGTGCTGACCAGACTGAGTGAGAGAGTGAGAGTGAGTGTGTGAGTGAGGAGGGAGAGAGAGAGAGAGAGTGAGAGAGAGAGAGAGACTCTGTGTGTGTGTGTGTGTTGGGAGTAGTGTCTTTTATCTCTTCTACCCCTTTTCCTGGGTCTTTGGGTGTCTTGGACTTTAGATATGCTGATGACAAGGCTCTTCCCCTTTTCAGAGAAATGGATAGCTAGAACTCACCTGGCATTAGGAGAAATGCAGACAAGTGGCTTAAAGGAGTCCTGTAGGTATACCTCTAAAGGAAAAAGAGATGGTTCATAAAATACCACTATAGAAAACATTTCCCAGGAAACCCCCCTCATCCCTTTATCCTTTTACAACCCAATTCTCTGCATACCTCTCCAAGTTTCTATCTTGTGTTCTTCTAGCTCATAGATCTGTACCTGGAAGCAGAAGCAACAGAATCTGAGACCTGATCTCTCTGCTTCATTAAGCTTGGGGCTTGCTTGGAGGAAAATAAATGAGAATGAGAGACTTTTCCCTCAGCAGGGAAAGTGATTTTGGTCATTGGGCTAAGGTTCCTTACCAAGGCTGATTTATAGTAGCGGTGTAGGATATTGATGAAATCAGTGATGGTCAGCATGCCTAGAGGCCAAGACAAGAGCCCTCAGCACTGCCCAAGGCTTCTTTCCCTTCCCAGCACAAGATGCCCGTAATATTACGTTCCAGAAACTTTTGCTTACCCACAAAACTTTGCTTCTTACTATCCCACAAAGGGGCAGCTCGTACACCATTGGTCACCAAAGCAAAGAAAGCTTTCTTCACCTGCAGCCAAGAAAGTAATAACCATAAAGGCAAATCCCCAGGGGGCAGGCTGTAAAAAAGAACAGGGGTTGGGTATGTTGGGGAAAACATGAGATTAACTTCATTGAAGGACATGGATATTAACCTTGGGATGAGACAGGATCCCAAGGTATTGAACCAGAGGTTCCAAAGAAGGGAGAAGGAAGTTGGGTACTGTGGCTCACGCCTGTAATCCCAGCACTTTGGGAGGGGGAGGTGAGAGGATTGCCTGAGTCCAGGGGTTTGAGGCCAGCCTGGGCAACTTGGTGAGACATCGTCTCTCTACAATTAAAAAAAAAAAAAAAATTTACCACCGGGCACAGTGGCATGTGCCTGCGGTTCCAGCTACTTAGAAGACTGAGGTGGAAGGATCACCTGAGCCCAGCAGGTTGAGGCTGCTGTGGCTGTATGTGTGCCACTGCACTCCGGTTTGGGAAGCAGAATGAGACTCCTACTCAAAAAAAAAAAAGAAAAGAAAAGAAAAGAAAAGACAGAAAGAGAAAAGAAGAGGGAAGGGAAAAGAGGTCTTCACCCACCTGCAAGGAAGTATCAAATACAACCAATTTGGAGCTTGTAGGAATCAGGTCATAGCAGCGATGGGACTTCATGAAGGAAGTATACACGCTATTGTTGGATTCTGGGGTCTCTGCATAGGGTGGGACAGTTAGTTGCTTCCTTCTACACAGAAACTCCCAATCAAAAGAGATAGAAAACAAAAGTGTTCTAGATTTTCAAATATTTAGAGCATGATTTTTTAGAAGGCCCTTTATTTTGTTTTGTTCCTAATGTTTCCACAAACCCTGAATAAACCTGTTAGAAACCATTTCATCCAAACCCTATCTCCAGGTAAGACTCTATCTATTGTTATCTATAGGTAAAAAAAGGCTGACTAGCCGGGCTCGGTGGCCCAGCCTGTAATCTCGCGCTTTGGGAGGCTGAGGTGAGTGGATTGTCTGAGCCCACGAGTTCGAGACCTGCCTGGGCAACTTGGTCAGACCTCATCTCTTACAATAAATTTAGCCAGGTGTGGTAGCGCGCACCTGTAGTTCCAGCTGCTTGGAAGGCTGAGGCGGAAGGATCGCTGGAGCCCAGCAGGTTGAGGCTGCGGTGGCCGGGAGCAGCCACTGCACTCCAGTCTGGGTGACAGAGTGAGACTCCAACTCAAAAAAAAAAAAAAAGAAGAAGGCTGACTAAAACAGTAAGTCTGTAATATCTCTCTCCAACAGGTTCTGGTCTGAAAGTTTTTAAAATCTTTAGTCCAAATTCTTCCTGTCACATATTTAGCACATTTTCACTTGTTCTCTTTTCTCAATGAAGATGAAAAACCAAGTAAGTGTTTTAAGATTCTTTCAAGTCTATGTCAGTGTGGTGGCATGCACCTGTAGTCCCAGCTACAAAGGAAGCCTAGGTGGAGGATCCACTTGAGCCTAGGAGTTTGATGCCAGCCTGGGCAACATGGTGAGACCTCATCTCAGTTAAAAAAAAAAAAATTCTTCCAAGTCCTGCAAATGGAAAAGTCATGGTCCAAACTGGGCCATTTCTCATCAACATTAAGTTGGAGCGCAGTGCTCAATCAACCTGGCTCAAAACATCCTGAGAGTCCATTCTGGGATCACCCTGTAAATCAGAAATCATTCCATCTATTCCAGAGAAGTGGGGTTCCTGGCTAGGTTTATCTTTCTATTCCTGTGATTTTAACTGTTTGCCCTAAACTGGGGAAGCAGTTCACCAAAATAATAGTCTGAATGTTCTATGTACTGTTATGTGAAAAACTTAAAAATATTACACCATTTAGTCCTGTCAACAAACCTGTAAGATATTGTCCTCATGTTTCAGATGAGAAAATAGGTGTAGAGTAGTTAAATAAACTTCTCAAGGTCACCATTAGTAAGACTCAAGTGCAAATCTATCTGATTCCAAAGTTCATGCTCTTAAATCTTTAGACAGTTTGTTTTTTAATATTTAATTTTTTAACCAAAGTTATATAGGCACACAATTTAAAGAGTCAAATAGTTTTACAAATTTTGTTGAGAAAAACCACAGTCCAATGCACCCATTTCCCTGTTACTACTCTTCCCAAGAGATGAGAAGATGCACTTCTTTTAGTCGATCATTTTGGTACTTATTTCTACGTCCTCAAATAACATGCATGCATTGCTATCTGATTTTTTTTTTTTTTTTTTTTTTGAGTTGGAGTCTTACTCTGTTGCCCAGACTGGAGTGCAGTGGCCACTCCCGGCAGCCGCAGCCTCGACCTGCTGGGCTCCGGCGATCCTTCTGCCTCAGCCTTCCAAGTAGCTGGAATTACAGGCATGTGCTACCACGTCCAGCTGATTTTTTGATTTATT